GAGAGAGAGAGAGAGGAGAGATATGAGAGAACGTAGCGCGTACGTGATGACGCTTGTCCCTCGTTTACGCATATTTTTCATACCCCGAACATGGGAGAGACAGAGGTACACACGCGAGGCACGCAACCCGCCATTATTTTTCGCTGTTTTTGTCGCCGTTTGAAGTTTTCGTTAATTACCATCCAGCTGCTGAAAAACGCGCTTTAATTATTCGTCCCGTCGAGATAGCGGATACGATGCTGCCCTCGATAGAGTAACACGTTTACCGTCGGAGAGGGGGGAAAAAAAAAAAAACCGCCCCTCATTGGTTTCGCGCGCAGGACGATAAATTTTATCAACACGCAGGGACGATTTTTCCCCCTCCCCCCTCTCCATCCAGAATTTTCCTGCATAGAGTAATTACCACATTTGTATTTCGTTCCAAATATTTTATTTGCTTTTTCGCCGCGATAAAAAAAAAATTAACAGAGAGGCGCGTCGTTTGATAAACGGGGAAATATCTCGCATCGGGAGGGATATCTCGCATATTTGTCAATTATACAATTGGAAACGAAATGTTGGCCGCACGCGTGTTGTTGTAATGTAATAACACAACCATTTTTCCCCCCCGTTTAAAGGGAAATCTTGTTGCTCTCTGTAATTTTTCTCGTCGAGGGAAATATTATTACTCGGATCCCGTTTAGAGGAAAAATATTGGTGGGAAATATTTTGTGGAAAATAATAAATTAATTTGTCGATACGTAAGGAATTGTTGGGATACACGATGTTTCTTCAAAAATTGAAAATATAGTGGCAAAAGTGTCAAAAAAAAAATATATATAATTCCTCGATTTCGAAGAGAATAATCGTAAACATTCGTAGGAAAATTTATTTTCAATATTAATTACGAGGCAGTCCAAATAAAGCTAATTAAGAATTTTTTAAAAAAATCAATGAACCAACGAGCAACGATTAATATTTTAGCAAGGTGCAACAAATTGCAATAAGTATCCGTCGAATCCTTTTTTAAAAACGAACGTACGTTTCAGAAAGAAAGGAAAGAAAAAAAAAAAATAAATAGAAATTCAAAGGAAATAGATAAACTCGATAGTGAAGAAATTCACTTTGCCTCTACGAAGGCAATTAATTATAATTCGCGTATTCGTGTTCCGCGCCTAAAAAGCGCGTAAAGTTGCAGCGACGCACAACACGTTGGGCGAGATCACAGAACGACGACGAGGAATTTTAATATTCTCTTTGCCTCGCCTCTCACGGATCCACCACCAGTTTCGGTAAATATTAGAGTAGCGCATATGAAACGCCGTTCTTCCTCGAGAATCTTCCGATCTCATCGGTCTATTATATATATATTTGCGGCTTAAATTCCACCTCGTTCGTCAATTTATACTTATGAAACGTTTGTGCTTAAAAAAGAAAAAAGTCGAGTCGCACGCGAGTAGCGTGAATTTGAAACTATCGCGACTTGCTTTTTACGATACAGAGAATAGCCTAATACACGGACATTCTACTATCCGTTTGTTCCATTATCCGCGCAACGTTTCGATGTTTTTATATAGATACATAAGATACTTAGATTACAACGTAAATACTTTCCTGTGTTCGGCCGGTTAATCGTATCGATTGAGTCTGAAGTGGTGTCGCAAGTGAACGAAAACGTGTAGTTTTAACTATTGAAGAGAAATACAAAATAATTAAAGATATTGAAAGTGATAAAAGTGTAACGAAATTAGCAAGAATATATGGTTCGACGCGTAACGGTAATTCCACGCAGCTGCTTACGATAAAAATTTACGACTAAGAAGATAAGGGATTCTTAGATAATGAAAGAAACTTTGTCAATTTTGTTCATTTCTACTCGAACAAATTTAATGCAAAAGAAAGTAACTGTTCTATTTATTCCACTATTCTACTTTTGTCTCCCTGTTAGTTCTCTACTGTATTTCTATACGACTTCGAGGCAGTGTGCTAACGCGTATCTGTTTCCATTGGATACGATTCTCGGATAGAATCTATCGTTCAAATTTTCTACAATCTATCTATTGCTCTCTAAGTGGACATAAATCAATCTAGATAGTAAATCAACGAAAAAAATAATAAGGAAGAAATTGAAAAATCGTCGAACGAATCTTGCGCGTAAGAAAGAGAGAGAAAGAAAAAAGAAGTTTCCAGGTATGCATAACAACGCGAATTCACTCTCGAGGGGGAAAGTAGCCGCGTTTAAAACGGCGTAAAGAGGAGCGTCCGTCCGAAAATTTCTATGAATATTTGCCGGGCTTGAGTATTGTCTTAAAATAAGCTTGTGGAGCTGGTAAGACGCTAAGAAAAGGGAGGGCACCGTTTTGTTTACTGGATCCGCCGGGTTTAAAGCCTCTCTCTCTTCCCCCCAGAGGGAAACCTGAGCCGCATCGCTCCCCCCAAATTGCTCGTTCGAAACGTTAAGGCGGATTATGCGCGAACGAAAGCGAGCATTCACGCCGTTTTAATCGTCGCGGCGATTTCCGTGGCGGGAATTTTAAATTATCGAAAATTGTCATTGCCGAATTTCACAGTCGAATCGAAAGGATAGATGTTGCAGCATGTTTCAAATTCGAAAGAAAATGAGCTACGAACTGCTCTCCTCTCGATTTCTTTGTCGAACTTCTCTGACGAACTATTATACTCGCTCGAGGATTCGAAGCTTTCCAAAAGCTCTCCGCGTTGATTGCGGGCTTTGAAAAATGTCACGGCCACTCTGTTATTCCCCCGGGAAGAGCGGAATAACACTAGGCGAGCAGCGATGGGGGAAATTTAATAAACTTGCTTCGATAATTTATCGTTCGAAACAAAACAATAATAATAATAATCGCAAATAATTGTAGTGGCAAATGGTAAAACTTATTTTTAACTTTAAATTACTTTCTCAACTTTCGGATTAATCCCCGAAACTTCGCTTTTATATACGTGCAATTTCATTTCTACAATTACACGTAGCACGAGAAGCGTATTTTTTGGATCGTCTTCCGTTCCAGAAATCTCGAAACGAACGAATTTGATAAATGACCCTTTAACCTTTATGGTTGTACGAAAATGTTATTCCATGTTATTTTAAATAAATCCTCGAAATAACTTTTTCAACGAGTTAATGCCCAACTCTGGATGCAAGTGGTGGTATAATCTTGGATATCGTATTTTTATTATCAATTTCGTTCAATTATCATCCCGTTCTTCATTTATATATATTCTCTATCACGTATTTATTCTTGATTCTGAATGTCTGGGCGGGTATTTTTCTTTTAAATTGGATATTTCCTCTGTACAATGCGGGGAAATAAATTGCTGCCACCTCCCCCCCCCCTCTCCCCTCCTTTTTCCTGTTAATTACGGTGGCAAAAATGGAAAAGATTTTTTTCTGCAAACGAACTCAATAAAATAAAAATGAGAAGCGACGAAAAAACTGGTAATGAACGCGATAAATCGCGACGAATTCGGGTAAACAACGAGAGAGAGAGAGAACGTTGACAGATAAAAAAATACAAGATACGATAACCGATGATCGAATCAATTCGTTTGTGTTATTCGGATAATGCGTTTCTCTCTTTTATACAAATCTCGCTCAAAAAAAAAAAAAAAAAAAGAAACAGTCTTGAAAAAGTCTTCGAGGGTCAAAATTCGGGAAAGGATAAAACGGAAAAGATCAAAGGGAACGGTGATGAAAAAGAAAAGAAACTGTGCTCCGTGCGCCGAAAGCAAAAGGCAAAAGAGGGGGAATAGGAGAGGAAGAATTAAGAAACGAGGGGTGGAGAGGAAGGGAGGGGGAGGGAGGCGAAGAAGAAGAAGAAGAAGAAGCGAGCGAAAGAAACAATGAGAGATTGGAAGAAAGAGGCGGAGAAGGGGACGAGGAATGGCGACGCTGGATCGCGGGGGGAGGGGAAAGGCGCAGGGAACAAAGAGCGATGAAGGAAATAATGGTGGAAAATTTTATGGAATCGCCAGCTTCGGGTAATTGCCGGGTATGCACGGCTGGGAAAGATGTGGAAATATTAAAAAGGGGAGGGGGGAGGGGGGGGAGGAAGAGGTTGGAGATTAATGCCGTCACGTCGGAAGGCGCTGCGGTGACGGCCTTGAATCGAACTTCTCTTACACCGTGTGCTCTCTATGACAGAGAGACGACACGATGATCGTCAACAGAGGAGAAGTCTTTTTCTTCCCCTCGTTTCGTCGTCATTGTTTCTTAACGTTTCCTTTCTTCTTTCTTCTTTCTTCCAGATCCTCGAGCTGCGTCCGAGCTGATCCCCTTCACCCCCCCCCCCTCTTGGACGGGTGGCCAAGTTACACGCTCGCCGGATACATCGCGAGGCGCAATTAAGGAGGTAATTCGATCAGGAAAAGAAATTTGAAAGGAGAAAGGGAAAAGTACCAAAAATCCTTCTCATAGTAGCCTCTTATTTTCACGATCCATCGAAAATTTGTCTCGTTATTCTCGAACGGGTGGATAAAAGCACGTGGAGAGAGAGAGAGAGAGAGAGAGAGAGAGAGAGAGAGAGAGACAGA